CAATCACGCTTCTCTCAACAAGGCATAACAATGGCTCCTCTCCCAATGGGTTGTTGGGAGGGTTAAATAAGATCATTAAGACACTTAATAAATTTTAATCAAGATATTTTTATACAGCCAGCACTGGTCTAGGAATTGGGACACAGAAGTGAACAAAATAGACCAAAAATATATCTGTTCTCATGGAGCTTCCATTGCAACGGGGTGAGAAAAGCCATAAACTAGTGAATGTATCAAAAATACGTCAGATGCGAGGAGAGGAAGTGGAGACAGCAAGTAGAGCCAATTCCTTGGGGATGGATGTCGATACAAAGCACTTGACACTGAGGACATGCAATGAATTATGTTTATAAGGCCAAATAGCTACAAGTCAGGGGCGGGTAAAGATTAAGGTAATGTGTGAGGCTGAAGTGCCTGTCACAGACCAGGTCCTTGAAAGAGAGTGGCCTTTGTTCCTTTCTCCCATGACCATGCCCACAATCCCTCAGTCACATGCACGCACATGCATGCACACACACCACCTACACATCTAGCACCATCTCCTCTTTCCACGTTCAGGGTTGTGGTAGACTAAATCCTTCTCCCCAAATCCTTCTTCCCAGCCATCCCACAACTTTGTATCAACTGTATGGCCAAGGAGATGAAACAAGTTACTTGATGGAGATAAGAAATCAAAACATATGGAGGGTGCTTGTCCAGAGAGCATAAATGGCTCTTCATTGTAATACGGGAACTAAAGTCTCAAATTAAAAATAAAAGGCAGGATGTAGCTTCTACCGCACTCCAACCACAGAGGAGCTTCATTGTCATACAATCACTGAGAATATTATGTTGATTGGCAAGAGCCTGGCTTTGTAGAAGGGACAAAATTCCCCACTGCTAATCTACAATGGAATTGTTCAATGTCAGACACGGCTTTAATAATATTGTTCTGGGCTGCGTTGGATGTAAATATCCCACTCTTCATTTTGTAAGCAATCAAAGAGAAGTTTTAGAGACAGGAGAGCACGAACGGTTATAATATCTGTGCCAAGAAACACACGGGCAAAATCGAAAAATCAAAGAACGCTGCGCCTTAGAAAGGCTTCGCTTTGTGGCTTATCTCCCATCTCCTCTGTCTGTCCAGCAAGTCGCGCATCAGACACATTACAAAAGACCACACTTTAAATGTTGCCCTTGACATTATTAAAAACTACAGGATTGGCGGATCAAACCAGAGGGAAAAAAACAGACTGTTAAATCTGGACAGTCAGATCATCACCCTTCGTCTTGCCACAGCGCCTAGAATGGAAAAGGAAGGAAAGGAACTCTTGCTTATGAAGCACCCACTATGCGCTGGGCACTTTGCCTCCTCAGAAGCAGCTTCGCATGCCAGTTAAGAGTGCCGGCTGACGGGGCCAGGAAGACCGAGAGTCACAGACTAGCTCTTCCGTTTTCCCGCTGTGTGGCCTCGGGCGAGTTGCGTCAGCTCTCTGTGCCTCAGCCTTTCTATCTGTCAAATGAGGGTCACAGGGGTCTCACAGGATGGTTTTGAGGATTAAATAAAATAACCTTGTATCCCAGAGCCCAAAACATACCAGGCACCCAATAGTGGATGTTATACATCTAACTTCATTCAGTCTTCATAATAGGTGGATCTGTGTTCTCACCAAAATGAGCTGAAGTCCGGACCCCCAGGACCTATGGACGTGACCTTATTTGGAAATAGGGTTTTCCCAGGTGATGAAGTTACGATGAGGTGAATAGGGTGTGTCCTGATCCAATATGATCGGTGTCCTTATAAAAAGGTGAAATCAATACCAGAAGCTAAGAAGAGACAAGGAAGGGTTCCCCTGTAAGTTTCAGAGAGATCACGGCCCTACCAGCACCTCCATCTCGGACTTCTAGCCTCTGTAACTGTGACACAAGAAGTATCTGTTGTTTTATGTCAGTCTGTGGCACTTTGTTACAGCGGCCCCAGCAAACAAACACACCCCTGCCATTGCAATAAAAATACCCTCATTTTCAGATGAAGGACTGAAGCCCAGAGAGGTAAAGTTTGTGTCTCAAGATCACTCAGCTAGAGGTGGGCAAGCTGAGACTCGAACCCAGGGCGCTCTGAGCCCAGCGTCCACCCTCTCTCTGACCACCGTGTGGCCTCTCGGGAGCAGAGTTCAAGAAGAAAGGGGCTCCTGTTTCTCACACCCAAGCCCCAGTGGAGGCGCCAGGTTCGAGTGGTCTGATTATGAACAGTTCATTAAGTAAAGAGCAGCGAGTGTTTGAGAGTGACTCTTATAAAAAGAATCGACTTTTATTTATAGTGACGTTCCAGTCATTAATTTTGAAGGAAGAAAGCCCACAGCAGAAGCAGGTTCATTAAAGATTTGACATTAGTAATTTAATTAAATTGGGTCTTTGTGTCCCGTTGCGGAAAATGAAACGTTAGTTCTACACCAGTTCTTGGCCCATTTCCACGGGTTGACTCCCTCCCCTCACTTTCACTTGCTTTCTTCTCCGAATGTTTACCTGACCCATCCCCTCCCACCCCCAGCGCTAGCGCCACAGTCACTGCCCCTGCTGCAAGCCAGCAGCACAGGATCATGGGTAATGCTGGGAAGCCAACAGGAGGATTATGGGAAATGCCATGGACGCCAGCAGTGTGGGATTATGGGAAACGCCAAGTTAACCAGCAGCACAGGATCTTGGGTAATGCCAAGCAGGACAGCAACATGGGATCATGGGAAACATTAAGGAAGCCAGCAGCCAATCATGGGGCATGCCAAGGAAACCAGCAGTGTGGGATTATGGGAAATGATAAGCTGGGCTAATGGCTGATGGGGGTCGATTCTTTGATCTGGGTCATCTCGCTTGTCAGAGGTAGAGAATGGGCAAGGAAGAGCTCTTCCTTCCATAAGATAACTCACAAAAACATAAGCCTCTTGAGGGCAGGGACCTGCTCTGTCTGTCACCGCTATAGTCCCAGCTCCACGCACAGTTGCCCCAAAATAAATTTTTGTTGCACGAAGGAATTCATGTATGGATGAGTAACCCTCCCAGACAGCTAATTAATGGACACGGAAATGTGTCCCTACAAGGGTCTGGCACTGTGTTAGACTCCCAGGATGCACCCAGGGGCCATCCCAGGCCCCTGCCCTCAGGCCCTATAGCCCAGGGGAATGGCATCTGCCATTTTTGAGCATCTGCTGTGTGCAGGGCATACAGAGATCGGCAGCTTTGTCAACCACGAGATAGTACTGCCCTCCTCTCAGCAGAGGAAGGTGGGGCTCAGGGAGGCCACGTGACTCGAGAGTGACAGCCCCTGGTTTTAGACACAGATCATGCTGGTTCCAAAGTCTGTCCTTTCTCTCTACACCAAGCTGTCTCCTGGAAGGCGAGGAGAAGGGGGTTGGAGGGAAGCCTCCTTTCTGTGGGTTCTGAGACCATCCTGGCAGGCGGAGGGGTCCTGCCAGGGCGTTCCTGGCAACATGGGCAGGAAGAGGGCACTACAAGAGCCTGGGAAGCTCTGAATGTGGGCCAGCCATCTCCACTTCATCTTTATGCCTCCTCATTGTCCCCCACCCCATGTCTCACTGCAGGCTCCCTGAGCTTCTAGTTTTATCTCTAGCCTGAAGGCCTTTGCACATTCCATTTCCTCTTCCTAGAGCAATTTTCATCCTAGTAATTCTTACTGATTTCTCAGGGTTCTGCACAGATGCCACCTCCCCCAGGAAGCCATCTCTGACCCACCCACGCTGGGTTTGGTCCCCTGCCTGGCCCCGATCTCATCACAACTCGGAGCATACCTTTAATCTCGCTTTCACTGAACCAGGAGCGCAATTCACTTATGTTGTATTTACTGTATGCCAGACTCTGTCCCATGCACTTTACACACCTTAACTGATTTAATTCTCACAACAACCCCAGGAGGGAGGAAGGTACTATTGTGATCTCTGTCTTACAAATGAGGAAACAGAGGCACAGAGGACTTGAGAGACTCGCTCAGGGCCACACAGGTGGTACGCCGGCAGGCAGGGGTGCAAACCTAAGCACTGTGGCCCTCGAGTCTGTACTCCCTGCACCCTGTTCTCCAGCCTCAGTACGTCATCGCTGGGTAGATGCATAGAGAAGTATTTGGATGGGAGTCTGGATGCGGCTTGATACCTTGTCCTCACCCTTTGGGGACATCCGGGAATGGTGGGAGGTGTGACCTTCAGGGCACAGGCGGTTCCAACTCTGGGGAGAAAGGCAGAGGGTAGGGGGAGTTGGGTCAAGTTGAACAGCGACTCAGGCACAGAGGAGCTGCGCACTCCCTCCCTCCTGATTGGTGGGTCAGGATGTTCTCACACCCTCACCGAGTCTGTCTCGCCTGGATAATGAGAACACTGCAGCTGGTCGCGATGCCTCTGTCTCAGACCGCACACTCTATGTAGACTGTACTCTCCAGCTCCCCATTTTCTCCTTTAAACGGGTCAGTCGGACCGGAACTACAAGACTTTTGTCTTCCCACCTCACTGCCTATTCCAGCACTAACAACCCCTGCAACCCACCCACCCCCCCAGACCTACTGGGCCTAAGGATCCCTCTGGCTGGCAGGACACACAGGAAAGGAAGCACATTGGGTTTAATGAGCACCCACCTACTCCATGTCATGCTCTGTGTCCTGTCCATGGTGTTTATGAGAAAGAGTGTGGAGTCCGAAACCCGGGCAACCAAACCCAAGCAAGAGGTTAAAGTGATTTCCTTGGAGCACCTTGAGGGACGGGACAGATGTATTCCACATCCAGGGCTGTGCAGGAGAAAAGGCAAGAAGCCTAGACATTGTGTTATCAATCACAAGCGTGACTCCTCCTTAGCACGTGACCATTGAGAGTACTCAGGGACTAGGCAGACTTGAGAGGGCCAACCCCTTCCCGAAGGAGAAAGGTTGGGGGGGGCGGGCCATGTCCAGGGAGGTGCTGCTTGGAAGCAGCTTCAGGGGGTGAGCCCAGCTCACAGCTGCGTGTGTCTTCCTCTCCTCACAGTGCTCCCGAGTCACACGTGTGGGAACCCTGGGCGGTTGCCCAATGGCGTCCAGCAGGGCTCAACCTTCAACCTGGGAGACAAGGTCCGCTACAGCTGCAACCCCGGCTTCTTCCTGGAGGGCCATGCCGTGCTCACCTGCCACGCTGGCTCCGAGAACAGTGCCACGTGGGACTTCCCCCTGCCCTCCTGCAGAGGTAGGTGACCAGACAGGGTCCTACAGGTGGGTGGTGATTAGGAGGGAATGCCGGAGCTTTCAGTGGGACCTAGTCTCCAGCGGGGAAGCTGCACCATCCACTCCAGCAAGGCATGGGGTACTCACTCTGGGGAGCCCATGCCTGGGGGTGACTGAGGGTCCTCAGGGTCCTCAAGTACCCAAGGGTCTTCTCAACCTCACTTGACCTCGCTCTCGGACGTGAACTCTCTGTGTCTCCTTCCCATACATCAGCAAACGTATTTTTAGTCAGTCTGTGCTCACCTTCTGCCCTCCAGCCTCAGAAGAACCATGGTTTCTCTCCCTGTTGCGGACCACCTCCTCTTGTGCGCAGTCTCTCTCCCAGCTGCTCTCCTACTGGCAGTTTCGCTTTTCTCTTTCCTACAAACCCAACCTCTCTTCCTGTTTAATGGTGTCCTCCTCTCAGTCTGCAAAAATGCTCAGAACCTCTTTACGCCAACAGTCGCCCCCCAACCCCCACACCAAAGCCCACCTCCCTTCAGAGCTACATTGGTCTCAGCCACCAGCTAGGGTGACCAACTTCTCCTGGTTTCCCTGGGACATTCCCATTTTGAACTCTTATATGCTTCTTGTGTGATGATAAAAATAACACACGATCACTTTTAAATGATCTTAGAAAATACAGGCCCTGGTCAGGTAGCTCAGCTGGTTAGAACATCGTTCTGATATGCTAAGGTTGCGGGTTCAATCCCCAGTCAGTGCACATATAAGAGACAACCAGTAAGTGCATAAATAAGTGGAACAATGAATTAATGTTTCTCTCTCTCCCTCTCTTTCTCCACCTCTTCTTCTCTGTCTCTAAAAATCAATTAAAAATACAGAAAAGAAAGAAGAAACAAAATGTGCCTGTTTTAGCCATGATTTTCATGTATTTCCTTCCCATTTTCTTTTAGTACATATTGCATATAAGCATATATTATGAACAGGTACTTAATTAAGATTATAATGCATGTACACATCTTTAGCCACCTTTTGAAAACTGACAGCACACCATGGGGCTCTCCTGTAGCACCCGAAACGCCCAGCGTCTTGAAAGTTCCAGCAGCCTCTGCTCCTCCCCTCCCACTCCCTGCTCTGCAGGCTGACCTCCGCCCCCAGTGTTCTGCATCTTGTTTCCAGCTCAGACGGAAATTATGTTGGCCCTTATACTCTTGGACCTCTCAACAGCCTTTGCAATATTGATCACTTTTTTCTTCTTGAAATTCTCATCTTTAAATTCTGTGGATCCCAGAACACCCAGATACAGGTCTAGGAAGACCATTGCAAGGAGATGAGAAATGATTGAAAGAACAACGTAGGTGATTGAAAGAAGTGGCTCTTCTTGGGTTCAACTTCCACCTTTCTCTTAGAGGAAGACTCTCGGTCATCACTCCCACCACGTGCCCACACCCTTTTTACCATCTGCACCGGGGCTGGGAAATAGGGGGCATATCCATCTCTTCCCATTCTCCCCAGCTCCATGGCAGACAGAACTAATTGCAGCACCTTTTCTGCTCGAGTCCAGACACAGCTGTGGATTCCTTCCCCACAGGCAAGCCACAACCAATCGATCTGAGTCGTCACTCCACTCCACGTTTGTTTAGCCCTCCTCAACCGAGAGTCTGTCTCTACCGCACTGGTCCTCGGTGGAGCCCAGGAGAACTGGAGTCTCCTTTCTTGCCTCCCTAAGTCCCTTCTTCTTGGGCCCCATTTCTCATGTGGGACACACCTCTCTTCCTGTGATTTGTATCAGGAATGACCAAATCAATCCTGGACTGATATCAGAAATGGCCAAACCACTCAGGCCCCTGCACACAGGCATGTGGCTCTGAGTGTCCTAACCATGGTTTGAGGCTGCTGCACCCACCCTTCTGTACAGCATTTGTACCCACCCCCGCCCAGAGGAGGTCACAGTTTAACAGATCGGCCTTCCTTGAAGGAGGGGTGTCAGAGTTGTGACATGATAATAGAAAACATGATAGTAAATGAATACTTAAGTTGTGAAAAAAACCCAACAGTTCTCTTTCTTTTTACAGCACTCTTAATACCACTGTTAATCAACATGGCAACTAAGAACGAATATAGCACAAGTATCAGAGTAAGCATCAAAGGCAGAGGGGCTGCCGCCTGTCCGGGGAAGTGTAATTCCCATCAACACCCCACCGCAGTGCGGTGCAAACCGCTGTCCCTCTCAGAATCTTCAGGAAGCTTTGCCAGCTTCAGTTTCCTCTCAGCCTGGGACTCACCTAGCTTCCGCTTTGCCGACTTAGGTCAGGAACTTGGCCCATTTTTTTACTGAACCCCCCTTAAAAAAAAGCAAAACAAAAATAAAAACAAAACCAAACCACTGACAAAGGTGTGTGCCTGTAGCACAGCCTTCAGTGAAGGTTTGTGGCAGGGCAGGCGGTCGCCTCTCGGCACAGCACGTGGCTGGAAAAGAAGTCTGGGCGATCAGGAGCCTCCTCATCTCTCGGTCCCTTCTCCCCAGAAGCTTCTCCCTGGCTTCTGTCTCATCGGGCTCTGGCTTCCCCTGGGGTACGTGTGGTACCACCTCTTCTTCCTCTAGCCCCCTCCACAAGGCTGCCTCTGACCTCCTCCCTGTTCGGGGACGTCTGTTGACTTGGGCACCGGAGCCCTGCCGGCCCTCGGCCCTGCCATCTCCTTACAGGCTGACGCCTCCCTTCCCCACCCAAACTATTTAGTACAGGGTGGTGTTCTCCTGCATGAAGAGGGCTTTCGCCTGAACTCTGCTGGCTGTAGAAATACCCTTTTTGTTACATCACTAGTAAAAGACAGTGACGAGGGCCACCTCTCGGAGGTCTTCACTCGCCAGGTTGAATCAGGGTGCAGTGTCTGTGCGCCCAGGTGTGGGGTGCAGTGAGGACCCTGCTCTTGACACGTGCAGGACGTTGGCCCTGGATCAAAGCCTCTCGGTGGGACGGAGTGGGCCGGGGTGACACCCTTCCCCCCGACATTCACCTCACAACTGCGATCTGTGGGCCTGGGGCACCTTCTGGTGACACAACTTTCTACCAGGTCTCTCCTGATTCTCTTTTGGCTTCTCAAATGACAGTGACTCTTCTCCTTAAATATGTCACCCCTCTACAAACATTTTGTATCTCTTGGAATTTCTCATCCACTGTATGGCTTCTCATTGTTGCTTGGAGGTGACTTTGACTTCTACCTCCAACCCTGGCCCCTGTCCTAAGCTCTAGGGCCATACAGGGGTCAAATGCTACTGAATCCTCCCCGGAGGGTGCCTTGAATGGGATGTGCCCCAAACCTGCTCTTTGTGCTGCCTTCCCCAGCTCGGGAAAGGGTGTCACCACCCAGGGTAGTCTGGCCAGACACCCCAGTGGCTCCTTATACTCTTCACCTTTGCTTCCTGCGTCATCAGTCGCCATGCCCTGGCGAGTCGTTCTCTGCACCTGCCCTCTCCTCTCTGCCTCTGCCATTATGCGGGGGGCCCTGGCTGGTGACGACCCAGGCCCTCTCACCCCTCACCTGTCTCACTGCAAAGTGTCCGTCACTGGGAAGCTGTCCTCCACACCCCCACGCTACTCACCCCAACCCATCTCCAGTGCTGGAGCGAACTTTCTAAGACACAGATGTGTCAGAATCACTCGCTGCTTAGAATCCTGCCAGCGGGTCTTCATCACTGACAGGGTCAAGTTCACATTCCTTAGTGTGGAGCCCAAGGCCCTTCCAGAAAGAGTCCCAAGCCAACCCCTCTGAGTCCTCTCCGAGTAGCTTCGGTTACAGCAGAGAATGCTCCCTCCTGAAGCACACCAGGGAAGCCAGCCAGCGGAGTCAAATCTTGCTTTCAGAAGGGCTTTGGGCGCCAGAGACTCCTGGGTGCCCAAGGGGCCTGAGATGTGGCTCTCCCACTCCCCGAGCCCCCGGTGCCCCCCCCCCACCCCTGTGCTCCACCCACTTACTCTAATTCACTAGAAGCCGCAAGAATAGCCTGAGAAGCACCCTCAATACTGTCAGGGATTTCCTGAAAGTGATTTTGTGAACGGCCCTTCCTTAGGAGGCCGAGCTAAACAAGGGCAGCGGATGCTCACCGTGTGCCGTGCTGTGCCAGGAGCTGCGGTCTTGCCAGAGTTAACGGGTTCGTACTCAGGAAGGATTAAAGCCTTTTTGGCCTCCCATCCTCTCATGTGGAACTCTCAAGGGCTGGCATCTATGAGTGGATAAACCTCATTCACTGGGCAGTCATCCGTAAATGTTTGCTGAATGAAGGGATGGCTGGATGGGTCTGATTCACCATCGGGACCATGCAGGCATACTGGCCGCAAAGGGAAATCACTGGCCTGGCTTTGCCCACCTGCCTGGCGGCTCTGAGTGACATGAAGTCTTTGAGTTCCAAGCCTTCAGGAGCAGGCTGAACGACTGTGCATAGAGGTGTACACAGGAAATGCCATGTGCCCAGCTGAAAGGTGGGCTTGGTCCAGGGACAGAGCTCAGAGGAAATTGAGACGAGCTGGGGTCAGGGGGCAGAGCAAGTGTGCAGCTGACCTCCGAGGAGGCCCGTCCCGAAGCCCGTGGAGGCTTGGTCCAGCTGGCAGAGGGAAGGACGCAGGGCCTGTGACCTCCGTCTGTTTGTGTCACTCTGTGTACCTTTTCAAAGGCAGAGGTCCCTGGGAGGCCCCGAGCTCTGTGGAACCTCTTTGATCCACAAGAAGGAAAAGCACGTGGATTTCAGCAACCAGGCTCTTGACACGTGCAGGACGTTGGCCCTGGATCAAAGAAGACCTCGTGGGGAAGGAACAGGGTTCAGAGGTGCTGGGGGGCTGAGAGGCAGGTGGCAGAAAGGAAGCCTGAGCAAGAAATGCTTGGCCCCCGAGGTTCAAGCCAAACACTGCAGGCTGCTACCAGGCCTGGGGAAACAGGCGTTCGGTCTGCAGAAGCTTGGGCTGCAAGAGCTGAGCTGCATTCCAAATTCCCTGGCCCCAGGGGAGGAACCTGTGGACTGTGAAG